ATATGAATATTCAAATTGAAATTCGAATTGCATTTAGCATTTTTTCTACTTCATCTTTACATACCATGATTGCATTAGATAGATACAGACCTATTTGAAAAGATAATCAACATATTTAGGATCATATCCTGAGAGCACCAAAATCCTTTTAGTTTAGCAATTCAATTGGATCTACCTGACCCTCAAATAAGTTGGACAAGTACAGTAGCTAAACCAACTGGCTTAAATGAAGAGAAGATTAAACTGTTTTATTACAAACATTACAGAGTATATTAAGTTAGGAGTAGCTTTAAATAGGTACCCAAGAGAACCAGATAAAAACAAAACAGGGTGGGACAGGGGAACAAATAAACACTAAAGTACAGAATGACTACTATATATCTATTGCCTAATGCAGTAGCATGTTCTGAGAATGTCTAGCTAAATAGGCCTACTGTAGTTTCAAGAAAATTAAAGCCTATTTTTAATGCAAACTGCAATTTGCCAAGTGTCTCTTTCAATTTGATTCACCAAAATGGTCTTATACACACCCTCCAGATGTAATGTCACATTAACTTGCCCATGTAGCACAAAATTACTTTGCACTGTTTTCTGAAGTTACCCTATCTACTTTCTAGACTTTTTGTTCCCTCTGAAAATAATCTGAGATTTGAAATGTACTAAAACTTGACTGCAATGTCCTTTACAGTATTCTGGTTCATGCGAGTCCAGTATATGAAAAAAATAAATTAAAATACAAACACAACAAAAAAACCCCAAATTATCCTTTGCAGGATATCTTCCACTTTTGCTTTCTGCACTGTTGCAGAACAAGGTGCTGTTTTGCCATATGGTCTACTCTGTTAATGATCTTTTTCCATTGTGGGTGGGATGCTGTATACTGACACTGGAAAAGTCCTCATCCTCGTTGCACAACCACTGTCACATAGCTTCCATCACTTGCTATTATCCCAAAAGCTTCACCCTTAATCTGTCCTTCATCCTCTAGGATATATAAAGGACAGGGCAGCACAGTCCAGCAAACAATGAGATTGCCTCTGTGGTGGGCAAGCTGGTGTGTCGGTAAGGATTATTGTGCAGAAGTAGCAAACTGGACGTGTATCTGTTGGGATGGGTTTTTTGGATTCAGTGTTTCAGGTTCTTCAAGGACTTGCAATGCACCACTGAGTTTACTGTGCCTTTATTAGGCAGGAAGTCAACAAGAACACCATGCTCCATGGCTATGGCTTAGGAGATAAAAATTAGGAAGCATTTTGTCACTGACCTTCGTATTTTGGACTCTAGCAGCACTGCAATTGTTTTTGTGAACAAGTTTCACCGCTGTTCAGTCATATAATGTGTATCCATGAGACAGCTGTAGACCTTTCCAACTGGACCTGAAACATTCCTGGACTCTCCTTAAGTGATCAGTCTCTGCAAAGCTTCCTGTATTTTTAATTCTGGTTTTGAGTCTTAGATACTGTTAGCATGAATTTTCTGCTTTTAAAAGGTGTAATATAAACAGTCCTGTGGTTTTCAAAGTCTAAAGTTTGCAATATTGATGTTGTGATCTTACCCACTGAAAAAAGAGCCTACACAGTGGTTCACATTTTTGCATTAGCTGATGCAGCACCTCTCTAGAAGTGGACAGCTACTTCCACAAAACCATACTTTGTTGGAAGCAGCTATGCCATGATAGTTGGGGAACAACTAGAAACAGACATGTCAAAAAGGCTTACACTAGCCAAAACCAATGTTGTGGACACACTGTTTTTAAAAAGTTCAAAGGAATCACTGTAATTTAGAAGAGTAGAATTCTCTATTTCAGGCAGAGCTAAACTTTTTTTTTCCTTTTTAAAATGATGGTGGAAACTAATTTTAATCCATTAACAGTCAAATCATTTGAACCATTACCTGATGGAGATCCCTTGCCAATAGCCTTTGCCAGCAACAGCTCTAACAGTGGGCTGGGTCTTGGAAAAAAAACTAAAACAAACAAACAAAAAACAGCTTTTGCACTGCCATTTATCCAGCCCTTTGAAACTGAACTTCAGTGACAGCCAGAGGCCAATTTTGACTAGCAATTCAAGACATGATGCAAGGCCCACATTTTTGTTTAGGTTTGTCTTGCTTTGCCCATTTTATAATATTTTTAATCTTGGTTTCAGTTGTTTCTGAGAGTTACTTTTATTAAAATTTAGCCTATGTAGGAAGTAAAAAAAATAGTAGTCAAGGTAGGTGATTTATTTAATTTATGCATTTTAATTACCCCCTTTTTTCCTGTTGTAAAGACTTATTTACACTGCACATATGCTCTTTGTGGTATGTCTGACAAAAGACTATTTTCTGTTTACTAGGGGCACCATATACTCAGTGGAGAGGAGTTTAATGAAAAAGCTTAATGCTGTGATACTTGTTCCCCTCTGTTTCCATCAGCCGTATTTATCAATAACATTGTATTGGATTATAAAAGCCTTCAAATACTTTTACATTGTGATCAAGTTCTGAATAATGCACACACAAATGTAAACTAGAAATAGAACTACCAGACAGTCCCAACATATACCTATTATTAAAACATATGGTCACTCAGCCACTGTCTAGCGTCAATTTGATAGGGGGTTCAAAATCTCTGAATCAGTTGTGAAAAAATGAGAATACCTGCATAGAGCTAATTCCATCCCCAGGCATTTCTTACAGTTTATCACTACTGTGCCTTATTGACATTACAAACAGATGTACAGGTATTAAGAATACCTAATAGAATTTTATACTTTAACAAACCCATGATCAAGTTAGCAAAAAGAGTACAATTTAGCTTTTACAGTCTGAATTAATAGTCTCTAGTAATGAGCCGCCAACACCTGGACCTAAAATATAAACTTTTGTAGTAAAAATGTATCAGTTTTTTAAGTATAATTTTACTAAAAAATATGCATTGAAACAAGGTGGTTTCATTACCTGTAACACTGGGGTTTTGTTTTTCAAAAATAAGCATTCTGAAAAAGTTATTTTATTTAATTCTCACTTAATGCATTTTTTTCAATTACCAAAATGCAATCATTTACATTTTCTATAGGACAGAAGCTTAATGAACTTACTTCCACTCTACAGAGACTGATGTCTACAGCAGACGTTCTTGAAGCATTTCTTTATCAATCAGGTTTGTAAAAACCAAAACAAAACCCCCATTATTTCCATTTCAGTATACATCTTTTTCTGAATTTGTTCTACATTCTGCCTGTTACACAGGAATATAGTTATCAAACAACCTAAAAAATTACGGTAATTTATTCAACCCTATTCATTTTTTTCTTTTTTTAAATGTGGAATTTATAACGTTAATATAGGTCTCAAGCTCTGTATGTGCATAGAAGCGTACTGGGAAAAAACCAGAAACCATGCACAGTATCACAAATAAACCACAGCATTCGGTTTGAGTTAACCACAGCACTGGGAAGACCCAGACAAGACAAACAGTTTAACCTCTATCTAACCCGCCTGGTTACTATTTGAAAAGGAGTGCCAAACAAATATTGCATTTAAAAGACGAATCAAAGACTGCATATATTAAATCCTAAAATAGGTAAGTACACAATAGTAAAACATTCACAGGAAGTACATCACTTTTTTGTAGCCAGGATAAATGCATTATGAATTATCACTATATTTAGGATTCATTTAAAATAAGTTATTTTCTACATTTGTTTTCAGAATATGTTCATTCTCAAATTTGCAAGTCTATCACAAGCTTAAATATGAAAACTCAACCCTGTACAAAAATAAAGAGTACAGTTTTAAGATCTAGGAACAACTATATAATAATTTTGTCCTATACAAATTATAAGATGCAGCAGAAAATTCTAGAATATTTGAAATTTTGGTCAGCACTTAATGAATTTTATCCATATACTGAATATTGATCCATAAGTGTCAGCACATAAAGTGGTCCAAGTACCAGACAGAGTAAACAAAAATTCAAAATATATCAAAATCTTACTTCAGGGTGTGTTGGGGGTGGGGGGAGGAAGGCAGGGATTGTTTTGTTTTGGAAATGAGATTCAGATACAGTCACCAAAGTACTGAACTTAACAGTGTGAAAATTTGTGGAAAATAAAAAATAAAAATATTTATTTTATATTATGCAAACTAGGGAAAACATTTTAAAAAGCTGTTAAACTATTTGCATTCATTTTTTAAAACCTGGTTCAAAATTTAGCTGTCTCAACACTTCAGTTACCATTATAAATTTTAAATTTACAAGTAAAAATTCCAAGTTTTTCCTTTTATTCTCAAGAAGCTGAGATATACTGTTTCCGGGGGGGTGTTAAGAGATACAAGAGCCAATGAAAAACATGCTTCTGCTATGACACATTCCCACCAGAAGTTTTGGAACTTTTACAAAAATTATGCTATTTTATAATTTAAGCATACATATCAAGTTGCATCTAAAGTAACGGACCACACATTGCAGAATTTATAAGAGAAGGCTGCCAAATTTCTAATCTGCTACTGATTAGCAGAAGAATGCTATGCATTTGTTCCTAGTTGTAATCTAACCCTCATGAATATTCACAAGCTGGGTGTATGTACATAGTAACAACAACTTTGCATAGTTCTTTACGCTTTATTTCTTTAACAACCTTAGGATGCAATACAGCTCATTTCAGGAAGTCTTGACAACTTTTGTGTAATTTTACTAAATAGGAAGATATCTGGAAACCAAGACCAGGACATTTGTTACAAAACTAGTTCATGCTGATTCTTGACCACAGTATAATCAGAAGCAAAATAATTTCATTATTTCAGATTGTTTAATATTTGTAATTACATATTTATTTCATGTAGAGACTTAGTGTGGCTTACCAATGTTCCCATTTTAAAATGTATGAAGGATTTTTGCTTTGTAGTTTACATTTATATGGCTTTCCAAAAAGAGCATGGAATACCACACTGAATGCCTATTGTGCAGAAATAACCCTGCAGGCATTATCATGGCACTATGCAGTAGAAAACCTTACCAATTTTTCATCAACTGTGATGAGTTGCGTGTCTTGAGCTTGGTCCTGTGCCAGCCACCATGTGGAAGTGCTCAGTGACCTGCAGTGCAAAACTTGAAGTTAAAAAATGATTCATGCAATGAGAAAATAGAGGCAGACAAATCTTACATAAACAAGTTACTTTAACAATATCCGTCTTGTAAAAAAATGGAAGAGGGAGAGATGAGGGCACAAAAATCCTTTTTCTCCCCAATTAGTTCTGTCTGCTGAGTTTTTGGCAGACTCCCACTTAGCAGTTCACAACAGGCTGCACTTTATGTCAGCCTACAGGCTTCTCTGTCACAGAGAGACTGCCAGTGGCAAGGACTGTACTGCTCTATATGAATGTACAGTAGCTGGTTTGTCACGAACAGACAAAAAAATACAAGGCTGCTGCAAGTATTCTAGAACTCTGAACCCTACATGATAGCATCAGAGGAAAAAAATCTTAACTCTGTTCCTAATGGTGTAGCTATGCAGCTATAGTTCTAAAGTTCAATGCCAAGATGATAACAAATTCACTTAACTGATAATCCAGATGCAAAGATCTCATCTTTGTGAATAGCTATGCACCATGGGTATTTTGATTCATTACCCCCTTGACAGCTGATTAGAGACTTCCGAGAAAACTAGTTAACCTTTTAGCAGTTAGTAAAAACTAATAATGTTAAATACCGGCAGAAGAATAAGCCCAATCCTGCTTCCACTAACTTTAATGTTAGTTCAGTAAAACTGGAAACTATGACAGCAGTTGGTCCTTTGGCCAAATAGCACAACAGCATGTGAAACCAGCCAAAGTTTCAACAGTATGCAGAGGGTTTACATAATTTGGAAACTCAGAGACTTCAAAATGCAAATTAACTTATGAAATTTTTGTTTATGAGGTGTCATGGCAGTCTAGCTGGGAAATTATTAGCATCTCTTTCAACACACAATTTGCATACAATGCCATTTTTTAAACCTATCATGCAGTACATTCTAAAGAACAGACTTTTCAGGAGCAGGACGACACTATGGTCCAGAAAAAATGGAAATGAAATTTAATCCAAAAATAGCCCCCCCATGTACACTTTTAGTTGGCAACAATCTGAAATGTAGTTCAACATTCAAGAGTTTTTAGTTTAAGAAGGTAAACCTGAAAATGCATGTCTTGAATACTGTTGCACAGTGATCTAAAGGTCTACAGGGCTTGATAAGGCACAGTGTCAAGCTGTAGCTTTATTAATTAAACATGAAAGATTTGGGCTATGCACTCACCACTTGGGGTCAAATACCACACAGGAGAGAGGTATATATTTATTTGATTTCTAATTTAATTCTTAATTTATTTAATAATTGTAATCATCTTTATTTATTTTTAAATGTCTTAATTTATTTGATTTATAACCCCCATCTCACCCCCAAAAAGGCTTAGAGTACCTTACAATAAAAACAAATGATAAAAATAGAATAAAATATGAAAGTAACATAATTAATAACTCACAAAACAATACCCCAGAACTTAATCCTGCCTCCTAAAAGCCTGCCCAAATAAGGAGGCCGTATAATGCTTCTGGAAGATGTCCATGCTTGGGATCTGATGGGCCTCAAGGGAGAGGGAATTTCAAAGCTGAGGACTTACTTTTGAGAATAACCTCCCACCCCAACTTAGTATTTTCACCAAACAAACTTGCACAGATGGAACTTGCAGGAAGTTGCTCTCAGCTGACTTTGGGATCATGATGGAGCATAAGGAAGGAGCTGTTCATTAGGTTTGTAAGAGCTAGGCCATTTAGATATTACAAGACTTGACTTACACCATACATCACAACCAGTAACTCTGGATTGCTCCTCCTTAGGCTAACCTTAAGATTTGGCACCTCTTGCTCAGAAATGAGCAAGAGGTTTATGAAGAACCTGGGAGAGTTTATATGGGCTCTTCCAGAAACTGCTCTCAAGTCAGCTCAACTAGTACTCTCTGCCTCAGTGAATGGCATAGAAGAAAACTTAAGGGAAGCAGGCCCTTCATGTACTACTGCTTACCTCTTTGTTCTATGACTGTGTTGGAGGTAACCTGAAGGACAGAAGTCCCAAATCAATTTTGCCACATTTTGCAACATCAACTAAATACGTTTTCTATTTTAGAGAAAATAGTCTAATTGACATCTTGAGGAGGGAAAAGGTTAGGGGAGGGGAAATTCAAGATGTTAAGTTACTTTAGTTTCAACTAAAATCCAGTCCTAATTTGTTTGTGCATTTCCACAGGTCTCTGTTACCTAATGAATAACAATGCAGTTTACCTTTAACTAGCCAGTTTGCTGCCAATTAAAAAAAAAATTTGTTTATTTTTACTTTTTCATAAAATAGGGGCCCGAGTACAAACTTTCTCAAATCATCTCACTTCATTGCATGAGATCATCTATTTCTGCCTGAACTGACAAGAGACTTTCTGTGGGAGCTCCAGAATGACTGAAACCAATATTTTTAGGGGATGTCAGCATATACACAGATTATGATAAATCTTCTGTGTTAGCTCAAAATCTCTTAGCTATTGTGACAATTACATGTGTGTCCCAGAGAGGATCTTGCTCAACACTAGCACAGCTGCCTATGTTCTGGATCTCGTTTTTGGACTGACGCAAGAGGTGGAGGGATGAAGGGATATGCCTTCGTGGATTGGCCACTGTCCATTTCTGTTTTGCCGAGTAAAGTATGCCCATCTGATAATATTTTTAAACAGTGTTTACTTGGAAACATAACTAAGCTGTATACTCCTTAGGGCCTGGACTGTATTTTCTTAAATACATGTACAGGGTCTTGCCCAATAGGGCCTGGGGTCTACAAACAGGGCCCCTAGCTGCTAACGCAGTACAAAATATAAATACATAATCTATACGTTTTGGGAACCTCAGAGGCATTTGACAAAACAGCAAAATACAACAGCTTAATGGAACTTTATTTCAGGCTTTGTTGCTCCCAAATACCTTCCCTGACTTACACGCCATTGTTTTCAGCTGAACTGGAGACAAGGAAATAACAAGGAAACATGACTGGAATACTGGTGGCTGAAGTCTTGTTCCAATTTAGAACATTATTCAGGTAATACCATCGCTATGCAGGAGACAAAAGAGTATTTTTCACCTCTACCATAGTATCTGAAAGATCCCCACCCTGAGCTGGGGCCGGGGGGCGGGAACAATCAGTAGGTTCACTGGCACTTACAATTGGGAAATTAAGGTATTTTAAGACACAATCAACCAGATCAGACTAAAGCATCCGTCTCTCTAGTAAGCCTAGAGGAGGTCACTGCAGAGCCTATTCAGCATGATTTCAGCTGGTACTGTTCACTGAAACTCTTGGAGAGCTACAGATATGTGAACTAGGATACTTAAGTGATTTCCACTTCTTTATTGGAAGGTGAAGGGAAATTTAAAAAAAAAAAGGAACAATTTTTGTCACTCTGCAGAACAGCTTCTCTTAAAAGGTTATCAGATCCCTGCTCAATAAACTATTTTGATGTTGACAACAGTCTGATTTTTGTTTGGACTTCAAAGTTCAATATTGTGGATATTACATAACTTGGAATTTAGCCTAGCATAGTAGAAAGAAAGCTATGGATTTATTGGTAGTGATGATCATACACCCATGAAATCTTTAAATCTATTATTGTTTTTGATATCATTGAGCATGAAGTGTTGATGATGTACCTGTGGAGATCTATAATATAGACTAGTTACTGAACTTGCTCCATTTTTTTCTTTCTGAGAGGGGAGAAGTGTTTTCAGCTATTGTTCTTCTGTTCAGATAGTCTCACCTATGGGCCTAGAAAGCAGTAGGAATTGGAGGACAATTCTGAAACTTAATTTTACTGCACACAAAGTACTTTTGAGGAACAAAGTGAAAATAATTGTGCAATGAAGCGCTGAATTTCCAGCTGGATTAAATTTACACAAGGGAGAAAAAGAGGTAAACAATAAACAATGTCAGCTAGTAAGCAATTCCTGATGGAGACCAGTCTAAATGCACTCAATCCAATCCAAACCCCACAAACCCCCTTTTATTCCTGTTTTCATTAAATGCCAAGAAGAAGAATACCCACTGTTTAGACTTGCATATAAGAAGTTGTACAGTCACTTAAAACTCATGAACTAAGTAAGCATTATTCTACTTTGTTATTTTTAGTCTGTCCTAGTGAAAAATCAATCTGGAAATTAAAAAAACAAAAACTGGAATACACACTGAATATGCTCAAATTTCTTCTAAAATGCTAAGTATCTACCATTCTATTACATTCTATGAATGTTCTGTACTCACTTATTTGCCCCTTCATAGGACTAACAAGTGTAGTATCGAATAATATTTGATTATTTGTTGCTAGATTGTGTGGAGATATTCCTGTCTGTTCTTGAGCGTTTCAAAAAAAAAAAAAAAAAAAAATCCAAAAATAATTCACTGGATTTTTCCTCTTTTTCTGGAAAGTCATCATTTTATATTGTACAGGGAAATAAATACTTTAAAAAAATTAAACAAACTGATTAGTAGTACAAAGCTTCTGGGGAAGTGTTGGCTTCTGGTCCCTGGCTTCCAGGGTTGTTTATGTTCAACCAGTTTATGTGTTTTTTTCCAATGAGTAATACCAGAAACAATGAGGACAGGGAACAGGATCCAGGCCTCCAAAACTCCTAGGTGAGTGTCCTTCCTCAATAAACTGGACTAATGCTCCCTCTTGTTCATACTCTCTATCCCTACAATCATTCATTTTTTTCTGCACAACAGCCCAGGTGCAGCAGGATGGGAGAAGATTGTCCCCTGGTCAAGCTTAGCCTTTAGGCTGGTAGGCTGGGCACTCTCCAATAATGTTGGCTTGAAATAGGCTGAGAAGGGCTTAAAACCTAGATATCATATCCTGGACAAATGCTCTATTAGACTATTAGATTGTATTACAAAGGTAAATCTCTTACTCTAGCCACGTTTTTCCAATTCAACTGGCTGTGCCTGTCTCCCCAGTAAACATGCTCAGGCCATTCCTATTACATCGTGTGTTAAAGCAGCATTTCCTAACCTTTTCCATACCATGGCACA